GTGTGTGTTTGTGCGTATGTATGTGTGTGTGTATGTGTATGTGTATGTGTATGTGTGTGTTGATGTGTGGGTATGTGTGTATGTGAGTCTGTTCGTTTACGTATGCTTGATTCAAATGGTTATTTTATGTGTATGTGATCGTTACCATATTATTATTCGTCTGTGTTGTTTTTGGGGGGTGTAGGTGTGACTGTGTGTATGTGAGTGTGTTCTTCAAGCATGCATCTACACGCTAGCCTGTCGTCGTATATGTATACAATGTATATGAAGAGTATGAGCAAGTGTATGGACGTGCTCACAATATTGTGTTCGTGTGTTTTGTGCAACAGTCTGTGTGTTCGTTAGTGCGTGTGTTTTGTGCAACAGTCTGTGTGTTCGTTAGTGCGTGTGTTTTGTGCAACAGTCTGTGTGTTCGTTAGTGCGTGTGTACGCTCTGGCTCTGAGCTTCTCCAAGGGACCAGACTCGCAAAAGTCAACAAACGGGAAAAAAACACCCTCGTTTTACTTTCGGTAAGAGTTCTGCAGTACACAACAGAAACCCACAAATTACTTCCTTCTTTTGAAAGAAGATTACATCATTTCTATTTGTGAGTGACCGTATGGAAGATCTATGGAGGCACAAAAGGGTTAGGAGAAATCATCAAACAATAACAGGGGTATGAATAGGGAGGAGAACAGAGATGTCTCGATTCCACACTCACGGGAACTAACCAGTTCATAAAAAAAGCAGAGGGAACGTAAAGAAACTATCGCTGGAAGAAGAAAAGAAGAAGAGAAATCAGCGAGGCGGTCTATGTGTCTAGGGCAATGGCTGTCTGCCCACAAGGCGCAGTACTGGAATCTGATTGGAGGAATCAGAAAGAGGGGGAGGGACCTACCAGCTCTCAGATCGATACGTGCATTTTTGTATCGTTCCCACCTATGCTTCTGTGTCGAGCCTTTGGGGAATAGGAAGAAGAAAAAAACCAGAGAAGAAAACGTTTCTTTTTTATGAAGGGTAAAAATCCCTTCCTTTCCTTTCCTTTCCCCACCCCCGCGTCTAAGAAACTCACCTGTTGAAGTGCGAGTCGGGGGAAAGGGGGATCGCTGTGGTCGAAAGAGCATATTGCCTCGCTTCTCGCTGCTGTCTTTAGAATAACACGTGTAAGTCTCGCTACCTTCAATCTTCGCCAGCGCCCGCAAAGAGCCAGCAGTAGGTCTAGTCTAGCTAGATCGCACGAAAGGGCGCGTGTGACAGTGATACTGTTCTGTGAAGGGCTTCTTCTTCTTCTCTCGAGGACAAATGCCATTGTGCTGGAGCTAGGAGACTCTGGCTGTAGCCTGTGAGCGCAGGGTTAGGTAGGCTGCTAGCTGGCTGCGTCCCTTTCTGCTCACTCACTGACTGACATCAAAGAGACTGACTTGTTCTCTCAAACGGAATTACAGGTGAGTTCGTGAGTTCCTTCCGCCGTGTTTTTCGGACAGACTCCAGGAAGTGGTTGGCAGTTGACTACACGCGTCTCTCTGATTGACACATCGCATGGCGTAGGTTACCGGCTCTCTCAAAACCTGAACAATTCCACAGTTAGCCCAATTATTTATTGCCGTCTTCGTCTGCTGGCCACAATAATAAGTTCTTTCTGCGTTTCAATTTTTTGATTATATTGATTTTACATAAAATAACGATCTGCTCTATTTTGAACTCATTATTGCCGGAAATTTTCTTCTGCAGATTTGATTTTGATTCCATACATATCTATTTATAGGCTATTCCTCATCATCAAATTAAATGCGCATCATAAATAGTCATATCACCATCGAATGCAGACTTTGATCTACACAGCAATTCATTTACTAATCGAAACAATGGAATAAACGAAACTCCTCAGGTATAATGCTTCATTCTTCGCAACTCCGATATAAAGCTAGAATTGGGAAAAAAGTTTTTCTTGTTCCGATATATTTCTGAACATAGTCTGTTACATAATTATATGTATACATATTAAACTGCAGGTGTCCGTCTGTACATTTAATTTGTGTTAGTATTAATGCTTGACACTGCTAGTTTGAGTTTGTGTGTGTGTCTGTGTGTGTGTGTGTGTGTGTGTCTGTGTGAGTGTATGTATTTATGTATGTCTGTATGTATGTCTGCATGTATGTCTCTGTCTGTCTGTCTGTCTGTCTGTCTGTCTGTCTGTCTGTCTGTCTGTCTGTCT